GAAGGGAAGGGTCATGGTCCTCATGGATGATGGATCACAGGGTAAGAAGGCAGAGCGGCATTCGGCACGGAGAGAAAACTGGCAACTGATGGAAAGCTAAGCACGTGGACATAGAGTCAAGTCTATGAGACATAAACTACTAGCTGGAATTCATCCTTTTCATTCTTTTTTTCGTTCTTTCCTTCTTTCTTTCGTTTGCATTTTTTTCTTTTCGAAAAGAAAGGGGGATGGCGTTGAGATATCATCATTGACCTCACCGGCCTCAGGTAATTCACAATCACTTTATTCTGTCCAAGCTGATTCCATCTGGATTCAAACTCGGGCCTGTACGTCAACAGTCGGTGGGTGTACCAACTAAGCGACCTTCTTCACCTGAATACAATGTACGCATTGTACGGTCATTATTGCTGTGTTTAGCCTGAAATATATCCCAAATACATCTATAATGACCGTGCAGGGATTCATCTTAAACCGCTAGTACACGCCCCCAGCCTTGCAGTCCGATACTGTTGCCACAAGCCAGAACGTCAAATGATGGGCCCGCCGTTGATAAATTCGATCGGCGGTTGCGTTTTCATTTCGCGCGTCCAGAATTTGAGGCGTCAGGCCCACGGCCCAGGTGCTCATGTACTGGTGCTTTAAACCGCTAGTACACGGCCCCAGCCTTGCAGTCCAAAACTTGTCGCGACAAGAAAACGAGGCTGAAACGTCAAAACGCTGGGCCTGCCATTGATATATCGGAATCGGCGGTCGTTTTTTTGTTTCGCGCCTCCGGGATTCAAGGTGTCAGGCCCACGGCCCAGGTAGCCGTGCGCCGGTGCTTTAAACCCCCCAGTTCTCATGAGCCTAAGTTGACGAAGACTGAAACCCTTTCCTTTTTCTTTTATCTTTCGTTCTAGTTTCCTTCTTTTTCTTTGAACCGCCACTACCTCTGAGCCTCTTTTTGCCGAGGCGGAGTCGAACTGCACGCCAATGGGTTGCCAAAGCGCCAGCGCGGCGTTTCTGTTTTCTTTTGGCTGGCGCCACCAGCCTGTGTGGTCCGGTAGCGCCGGCCAGCCTCCGCCGGCCTCCGCCGGCCTCCGAAAAGAATGCAGAGTAGGGCTCAGTAGGCTGCTTTTGAGACTTAGCATCACGGTAGTGGCGGTTTAAACTTTAAACCACCAGTTCAGACGAGCAGAAGTGGATGAAGCTAGCTTCCAAGGCTCGCAAGCTTGCGACTGCGCCTTTTTCAAAGTGGCCCGCCGCTTTAGCTACTGGCCCTGGCACCGAATCGAAAGCTCTGACGGCGTATACTGGTAATAGCTGTACTCTGCTATGGGTGAACTGGCGGCGTAAACCGCCAGTACTTCCTAAAGTTGTGCCCGTTAACAAGCCACAATTTTAGGAAACGTATGGGCTACTACAGGAGCGCCCAAATTCATCCGACTAGAAACGTTTCTACTCTTTTTTTTTTTTTTTCCCGCGGCGGATAGCTGGTCCAAGTACTGGTGGTTTAAGGGCAATATAAACTGAGTGAGAGATGAAAACGGTCCATAGCTATCCTAATGTACTGTCAGGCCATACTCACACCATTGGTAGTACTTTTCCAATGAGCTCTCTGGACGTAATTGCGGTCAGGTTCATCCAGGTCAGTCTGTAATTGCAGTCATATACATCCAGAAAAAGTCCTAGTTTTAGTAATGCCTTCACACAGACTCAACAGCAGAGTGCAACAGACAGCCATCCAGTAACCAAATCTGTGAACCTACAAAGTGGCTGAGCGGGGAGAGTGTGAGCATGATTTTTGGTGTTACATTCTGGAGTACCGAGTGTGATGGAGCGGAGCGATCGTCCGTTAACGCTTTCTTTTTGTCATTGCTTCTTTGCGTGGTGTCAACATGGTGTCAACATGATGTGCATGTTCGACGTCATTTCTGTGTGAGAATCTGTCTATTCCACTCACCTATAAAGTGGCAATCGCCCTTGGCGACATCCGTCAAAATTGGATCGATAGATTCGATACAGAGAAGATAGATTAGCATGGCCCCTGCGCAAGGATGCAGTGATGCACACATAAATCGAGAAACGGTCCGGGCAAAAAAAAAACAATCAAACTGGCAATCTGTGCTCAGCCAATCAGGAAGCAAAGCACCACCAGTATTTTCACATGCTAGTTATGGCTGCCTCTCTCTCTCTCTCTCTCTCTCTCTCTCTCTCTCTCTCTCTCTCTCTCTCTCTCTC